TGTCTATATTTTCAAGAATTTTCTTGAGTAACTTATTTTTGTGAAAGAAGGTATATAGGTGTTTTTGTTTTGTTCAGTCACGGTAGACCTAACAAATATATTCTCGTTTCATTTTGTCAACAGGCCTCATGTTTACATGACACAATTAGAAGACCTCCATTTTTATTTGTAACCACCTTTTCTAGACTCTCGAACGGAGTTAGCTAGTAAGCCTTGGAATCATAATAGTGTATTGTTTTTTACATAGACTGAAACTATTTTCGTGTCAATGTAATGAGAAATGACTGAGATAATAGCCAAAAACTGGTTTTTTTGATATTAATTTTGTAACCACCTTTTTGAGACTTCTGCACCAGGTATAAACAAGTTACTACTTTGAGTGTATTCATTAAGGTCTCTTATATAGACTGTTTATGGTTTCATTTTTCTAGATGCTATGTTTTAAAAGTAATAATATATTTTTTGCAAGTGTTTCAAAGGGTGTGGTTTAATTTTTAGTGAGAACTGAGTAGTGAAAGAATAGGTTATTTACCAAGGAACACAAGCAGGATGTCAGTGGCATTGATGAGACATTGTTACATGATTGTAAAGCTTCATATTTATGCTACCACAGAGAACTATCAAGATAGAGATGATGTACATTACAGTATGTACTGTATATTACAGTATGTACTGTATGGTGAATTGGTGATACAGCAAGTGCTTATAATAATTGTTGTCAATGTTTTTGTTGCTATTTTTATAGTTAAAATTTGTTGAAAGACTCAATAATAATCAATCTATTGGGTGACTGAAGAATACTGAGAATAATCATTATAGTGATAATTTTAATAATAATTTTGTAGTACTTAGCACGGTGCATTCTTTCTTTTAATAGTAGATCTTCACTTTTTAGAACTAGAATATTGATTGTAACTCTTCTATAGTTGTAGACCTGAGCTTTAGTAAGTAATTCAACTGGATTTCTTCACTATCTTGCTTGTGCCATGCTTATACACGTGTAGTGTAAACGTCACGATAATCACTTCCGGCGCCAAGGATCGAGCGCATCCTGTTTCATATCCATGTGTGTATGTAGTATCTATGCTTTAACAGACCGGGATTGGAAACTTCCCCGTTTTAATTTTATTCCGTGCATGATCTGTGTTGTCGTTGCTATGGTTATTATTACAGTTTATTAATAGTTATTAATGAATAAAATGGCCATCGGTGAACTTTTTCTCTTTTGTGCAGTGTTCTCCAGCCTCTCTTGCATCTCATAAAACAAGGAAGAAGCTGAACTACTGGTGGAAGTTAATGATGACCTCTCTCTACCTTCTGCATCTACAAAAATTAAAATCATGGAATAGTAAATGGAAAGAGCTTGCATGTTGTGTATCTCGTGACATTTACCTTTAAATTGATTTTAGCATGATTATAAACAACTAGAATCATTAAACTATGCTATTCCACTAGTGGAAGGATTTCTTCATCATATGCAAGTATCAAACAATAGGTCCAATGATGAGATCAAAAGAACGAGTCCCACAAAGTACAACACCTCGATTTTACATTTTCCGGTTTTATTGCTCCTTTCGGTAGAATAATCAACCAAAAATAGTCTGTTCCGTTGTAGCTACATGTGCTGGTTACTTTTAAGTAATCAGTGAACTGCCTAACTCCCTACAGTTGGAGCATTAGTCCCACAAAGTTTTGCGCAGGTTCAAACTTTTTCGCCATTGAAATGTTAGCAGCAGCTGCTAGTTATTAACAATAAGGATGGGCAGTTATAAGTAATGCGCTCACGTGATCTGTTTCCAATCCCGGTCTGTGTATTAAATCATAGATAATAGAGTAAATGAATAATTTCATTTACTCTATTATCTATGATTAAATCTATGATTAAATTTATGGCAATTATTAGATAATGATAGATATCTAAATAGAATAATTACGGTCCCAATTAGCATTTTTCGTTGCTACGCCCCGTTTCCAATCCCTTTCATTTATTCTATTATCTATGATAAAATTAAAAATTAGTAAATGCCACGCTCCGGACTATGAGCTAAGCTAGATATTACCATAGATTTAATACACAGGTCTGTGTATTAAATCTATGATATTACAGATGTTTGTGAGTGGCTAATCATCACGTGATTAGAACTGGTGGTGCAGTGGCAAATTTTCTGCAGACGGCTAGCTGTACCTGAATACATTGATTTGAATGGGATCACGTGATCTGTTTTCAATCCTGGTTACGTAGTCTTAGTCTATAATATCTATGGCTAAGATAAGCTCGAGGCCAGAGCGAACTCATTCAGCTCATGATGTTGCTGCAGCTGTTTATCATAAGTTTTATTTTAGCTAATGTTACCACTGCCGGCAGTAAGTTCATCTAGCAAGACTATGCACTTATTATCTTTCCAGTAGCCCCATCAGTGGTTCAATATACTCAAACATCTCCAAAATATCCTATTGTATGTCCTGGTGATACATTAGTGCTCACTTGTATACTTACTGGAACTGGAGGAGCTGTTACTTGGCAAGCAGACAAAGGAACTGAAAAGCTATTACTGTCAAGCAGTCCATTAAATAATACTGCTGGTAGTTTCTTTGTAAATATTACTGAATCAAATAGTACAACAGTAATAAGCACAGCTACAAATTATTCTGCTTCAGTTGCACTAGATGGAGTTAATGTTAGCTGTAGAGTAGATGGAGCTATTTTCAAGCAATTAACTATTGACATTGCAAGTAATGCTGGCACTACTTTAAAATTGTATTAATTAAATTATATTATTAATAGATTCACCAGGTTCAGTTAATAATGTATCAGTAGACGCAATCAATAAAAGTGCATTGTTGATTGGTTGGATTTATAGCAATTATAAAGAGGAACAATGTATTTCATATAATCTTAATGTCACTGCTAATGGTACACTCAATGATATTTATGACAGTGGCTACAACAATTATACACTCACCTCTCTTATTATTGGTACTAATTATACATTTATTATTATTCCTATTGATACTATTGGAAGAGAAGGACCTCCTTCATCATTAATACAGTATATATGGAATGGTAAGTACTATACACACACATACTCATTGTATTTCTTATAGTACCAGCTCAAGTTGTTAATATTAGTTGGGATCAGATATCAACTGATACTATTACAATATGGTGGAATAACAATGAAGTATGTTAAACATTATTATTAAGAATTATATTTTATTTATTATTACAATAGGATGCTTCAATGCATTATCCTCCAGTACATTACATTATAAATGTAAATCCACCTCATAATAATATTAGTAATACAACTAAGACTAATAATGCCATGATTACTGGACTACCTCTCACTGATACAAACTACACTGTTACTATCATTCCTGTTAATGTTATTGGATATGGACCATCAGCTACTGTTAATGGTATAGTTATACTATACAGCACACATTATTATATTGATGTTATTACTAATAGTCAGTGTAACTAGTATTACTCCTACAATGACCAGTACTAGTTCAGTTACTAGTGTTTCATCATCAGGTCTGTACAGTTAATACATTATTCATTAATGCATGATATATTGTATAGTTGCATTAACTACTAATATAAATACCAGTACACCAATAATACATATACTATCTACTTCAAGTAAGTAATAATTTAATGGTTTATTTATTATTAATCAATTTATGATAATAGTTACAGTGTCTTCAACAATTGATGAACAATCATCTTCCT